TTACCAAGGCTTGAAATCCAGCAAACACTGGAATGGGTGTAACATATGCCCGGAGTAGGAAGGATTTTTCCTATATCTCTCTAAGCCATAGATAATGTCATCTGTAAAAATAACAGTGCCTACTTCATAAGGTTGTGGTGAGGACTGACTAAGATAATATGTAATGTTCTCACACAGTGCCCGGTTCAAGGAAAGTCAGGTCCTGTTGATGTCTCCAGAATTCCAAGGGGAGGAATTCCCTGGTGGTCCAGTAGTTAGGACTCCATGCTTTCACTGCAGAGGGCCCAGGTTCAATCTCTGGTCAGGGAACTAAAATTCCACAAGCTCACACCTTTAAAAGTCTACTACTTTAAAAAATAAATAAATAAATAAAGTAGAAGAACATCATCAGATTTTTGAAATTTTTATTTTCCATGACTAAAATGCTTGTTTATATTAAAAGAGTTAAAACTATAAAAGAGAAAGAAGAAAAGAAAACCAATCTGAGGAGTATAACCTGGGAGATGGTCTTTCAGAAAGCTCTGAAGACTGTCCTACCTTTATATAAATTTTTGAGACAAAAGGTTATACATCAAAGTAATACACTGACAGTTTACATAGTCCAGGAGGGCTAGTCATGGGTTAGTGTGACCCCTTTACAAGACTGAGAAGAAAGGTCTCCTAAGGAGTGAACTTGCTGGTGTCAAGAGAAAACTGCTTTTTTCTGGGGTGGAGGGGGTAGGGGTTGAATAGGCATTGCTGGGTCTTCTGAGGGGATCTAGTTAATGTCTTACAGCTTCTTAATGCATAGTAAAGGGCACGGGGTAGTGGCTCAAACAGGCAGAGAGAGAATTTTATGTTTAAAAATGTTCTTGTCCTGACTTAAAAATAATCTTCTTTCATCAGAGAAGGGGCCTCTCGCCAGAGTGGGGACTGAGGGCTCCAGCTCCAGGACAAGCCACACCCTGTCCCATTTCCAGAGATGGACCTTGGCCCTCCACCTTTCAGTCTTAGTTCTATATCTGGAAATGATTCTAAGATTTCAGCTGATGACTTCCCTGGTGTTCCAGTGCTTAAGACTCCCTGCTCCCAATGCAGGAGGCACGAGTTTGATCCCTGGTCAGAAAGCTAAGATCCCCCATGGTGCAGGGAACAACCTTTAAAAAAAAAAAAAAAGGGTAGTGTGGACTTCTCTGTGGCTCAGTGGTGAAGAATCTGCCTGCTAATGTGGGGGACAGTGGCTCGATCCCTAATCCAGGAAGATTCCACCTACCTTGGGGCAACTAAGCCTGTGTACTACAATCGCTGATCCTGAGCTCTGGAGCCCTTGAGCCACAACTGCTGAAGCCCATGTACCCTACAGCCTGTGCTCAACAAGAGAAGCCACTGCAATGAGAAACTCTTGAACCATGACAAAGAGTAGCCCCTGCTCTCCACAACTAGAGAAAGCCTGCACACTGCAACGAAAACCTGGCACAGCCAAAAATAATTTTTTTTAATTTAATTTAATTTAAGAAAAGACAGATTGCAGCTGGACACCAACCTTTCTTCACTGCAGCTTACCTAACTGGGCCAAGCTTTTGTGCAGGCAGGAGATAGATGGGCCCTTGGGCTGGACAGCTGGTATTTGTCAAGTGGAGTAAAATAGAAGTTTTGTTCTCACCCAGACACTCCCAAGGACAAAGCAGGTGGCAAAAGCTGAGCTCTGCTAAAGTTAAGAGATAAGGTCCCCACTTCCCAGGTCAAGGAAGACTTCCCTGTCTGCACATGTGCAGGAAGGCTTCTTGGGGATCCAAAAGAGAGGATGCCTCACCCCATAATAAGTGTGGAAATGTATCCACAGGCTTCTGCAGCGGGATCCATCCTAGCAAAAAGTTGTGCATGCATCTTGGGGAGAGTCCAAGGACCAGTCAGGTGTGAAAAAAGAAACAAGACAATCGGCTAAAAGTGAACAAAGACCAGGTTTCCTGGGTGATGCTCTTGGTAAAGAATCTGCCTGCCAGTGCAGGAGATGGGGACTTGGGTTTGATCCCTGTGTTGGGAAGATCCCCTGGAGTAGGAAATGGCCACCCACTCCAGTATTCTTGCCTGGAAAATTCCATGGTCAGTGGAGCCTCACAGGCTACAGTCCACAGGGTCACAAAGAGTCAGACATGACTGAACACACACACACAAACACATACACCTAGAAGGACTGTCCGATATAAAGGGTTTAAATCTCCTCTTTACTGTGCTCCTTATTCCGGACATCTGTATTCCTGCCCTGCTTCTGACATAAATAAGCTGTTTTTTTTGTGTGCCCTCCCATACTTTGTGCTGTGTCTCTAATAATATACTTTGTACGTATTTTGCAGCTTTTGCCACCTTGAAACATTTTTGCTTCCAATTGGGGTAAGAATCAGAGAACTTTGCTTCTAGCCTCTACTTCTGGTGGACTGGCAGCTAGACTCAATCCCTGGACAGGAAAACAAAATCCTGCTTCAAGACTACGGTCCCTCTGAAAGCAGTGGAAAGGGGAGGGAACCAACCCAGGGGCTTGTATGTTTCACATACTATTTCCTATATCTAGGAAGACCCGGGTTGGGAAGATCTGCTGGAGAAGGGATAGGCTACCCACACCAGTATTCTTGGGCTTCCCTTGTGGCTCAGCTGGTAAAGAATCTGCCTGCAATGTGGGAGACCTGGGTTCGATCCCTAGGTCAGGAAGATCCCCTGGAGAAGGGAATGGCTACCCACCCCAGTATTCTGGCTGGAGAAGTCCATGGACTGTATAGTCCATGGGGTCGCAAGAGTCAGACACAACTGACTGACCTTCACTTCACTTCAGGAAGACCTCAGAATGGTGATGGCTATTGCGGGTGCAGGCATCCTTCAGTCTACCAGTATCTAGCTAGCATCTACCTTGTCTCAGCCTGGGGCTCCTTTTGGCTCAGGGGAGGTAGGCAATAATTAACAAGCCAGCAACGAGCTCACACATAGCCTTGATGGCCAGAAATGAAGTCCCCACCACCCTAAGAATCAGGCCTATGGGTCATGGCACAAGGCCTGCCTCTAGAAATCCAGTCAGCTGCCCTGTTGTCAGGGAAGCTAGCCTTTCCTGGTTTAGCTCCTTCCAGACCTGGCCAGGCTCCTAAATTTGTGCCCTTAGAGCCCCACAGCTTGTCTCCCCTAAAGCACTTCTGCAGATGAAATCTTACATGGATCAGTAGGACTGTTTGATGTCTCTCCCCCACCATTCTACAAACTACAGCCCACACCGCCCCCCTGCCCCGTAAGGGCTTTGTCTCCTCACTGCTGTCAACTTGAAAAAAATGAACAACATTAGAACTGTGAGTTGGGTGTATTCAGTTTCTTACTGAGCTCTGAGAAACTATTCTGAAAAGGCAACAGAGAAACTAGGATATATGTGAGTTTTTCTGTATGTCCAGGACTATACTGGGGGGTTGGATGGGGTGGGGTGGGAGGAGTTCTGGAAACACAATAGTGTTAAAAAAAAAAATGTTGCCTGCCATTCCAGTTCTATAAGGATCAAGCCATTAGCCACTAATCGGTCACCCAATGGAAAGAAAAACATCTAGTTGAGGGACTTCCCTGGTGATTCAGTGGTTAAGCATCCTGGTTTCCACTGCAGGGGATGCAGGGAAGTTCTACATCCTTCGAGGTGTAGCCAAAAAATAAAAAAACAAAATAAAAATGGTAAAGAAACAAACAGTCAAACATAAGAAAATTAACAGCAAACCACAAAGAACAGGGTGATTTGAGTACTGGCAGAGTCAGACATGACTTAGAGACACGACAACAACTTTTCAGTGTATGGGAAGACACAAGAATCTGGGATCACTGAGATTTTCCCCTAAATGAGTTTCAACTATCTAGGGGTGGGGTTCAAAGTACAGAAGGTCCTTCAGGTACACTGTTCTAGGGTGGATGGTGAGTGACTGTAGCTGCTAATGGCTTGATCCCTATAGAACTGGAATGGCAGGCAACATTTTTTTTTTTTCTCTTTACATTGCAGTGTTTCCAAGGCCTCTCCCGGCCATGGTCCCTAACATACAAGGGGCATTCAACAAATGCACTGATAAGGAAGAAAGCCAAGTAGTACTACTATCTTTTACAGTCAATAAAACAGGGCCAGGTAGAGATCCAACTGCCTTCTGCCCCTATTTCTGTAGTAAGAGCACCAAAGAGAATAGGGCCACACCTAAGGGCCTCCCAGGCCCTCCACCATCTCCTCCTCCTCTGCTCCTCCAAGGGCACCGCAGAGCCATGACCCAGCCCCAGAAACAGACTAGCTTCCCAGGAAAAAGATCCCGTGGGCAGAAGGGGAACAAGTGACAGTCTATTCATTACAATTATAGCATTTACAATATATCAGACATTGTGCTTCCTGAGCAACTCTTTGAGTCACATTCTATTAGCACCATCCTTTTAAAGATGAAGAAACGGAGGCACAAAGAGCCAAGTGGCATGCCCAGAACCTAGGTGATGGAATTGAGGCAGTAGAATTGGAGGCTGCACTTTTATCCACCGAGTCGCTCTGTCGCAGGGCAGAACATCAGCACAGACATCAGAAGTCGTGTGTTTTTCCAGCGCGGCTTTGAATGCCCGATTGTTCTTGTCTCTTTATGGGTAAATTGGGATCCTTAACAATAACTAGCTTATAAAGTTGTTGGGAGATAAACCCACGTGGAGTTTAGTACAGCGCCTAGAACATAATAAGCGATCAATGAATGTTAATTATTCATATTCTCCTACAGTTACCGGGGTTTCGGGGCCTGGGAAGGAGTGCCTGGCGATATCTTGGCACAGTTTGCAGGCGAGGTCACTCTGTAAGCCAGGGGTTCGGGGCGGGGGGGGACCGCCTGCCCTCCCCAGCCCAGAGAAGGAGGGGCTGAGAGGAAGGAGGGTCTCCCTAGTCCTGGCCCCGCCCCGCCCACTTAAAAAAAAAAAAAAAGACGCTGAGCGCAGGCGCAGAAAGATGAGCCTTCTGCCTTGCGCCAACTCTGCAAGGAACCGCAAGCATGGAGGGGCGCGCGAACTCCCCGGGTGAGCCACGCGCCTGGCCCACCCGGTCCGTGCTGTGCCGCGGCTGCGTGGAGCCACTCGTCTTCCTCGCCAACTTCGCCTTGGTCCTGCAGGGCCCGGTGACCACGCAGTACCTGTGGCACCGTTTCAGTGCAGACCTTGGCTATAATGGCACCCGTCACAGGGGCAGCTGCAGCAACCACAGCGTGGACCCCATCGCGCAGGTAGACGCCGCGCGCGTGGGGTTGGGGGCGGGGAAGCGAGGAGCGTGGCAGGGGCGGGGCCTGGGTGAAGATGGGGACGGCCGCGGGGGGTTAGGATCTTGGGTGGTGGGCGGGGCGGGAGCGAAAGTTGGAGCCCGAGAACTGTGTAGAGATGCTTAAAGCTGACGCAGATAAAGCGAGCTTGGAGGGCTAACAAGGGGGTATTTACTGAAAAAACAAAACGCACAACTTAAAAAGATGAGAATTTTTTTCAGTTTTATTTTTGGCTATGCTGGGTCTTCATGGTTGCCCCGACTTTTCTCTAGTTGTGTCCAGCGGGGTCTACACTCTAGCTGCAGAATGCTGGGCCTTCTCACTGCGGTGGCTTCCCTTGTTTGGGGACAGGGCTCTAGAGCACAGGCTCAGTCGTTGTGGCGCACAGACTCAGTTACCCTGCGGCAGGTGGATCTTCCCCGACCAGGGACCGAACCTGTGTCTCCTGCACTGGCAGGTGGATTCTTTACCGCTGAGCCACCAGGGAAGCCCCGAAAGTTGTCTTATTTAGCTACCTTTCTGAGGACTCAAGCCCTGGAGGCAGTCTCTCAGACAGCTCCGAAGGACTGCCCCTGAGAGATAAGGGAGGAGCCAGGATATATAGGAGTTTTGTGATAAAAACCAGCTTGGAGGAACAGCAAAAGACTACAAGTGATAAGTGTTAGTCACTCAGTTATGTCCGACTCTTTGCAACCCCATGGACTGTAGCCCACCAGCCTGCTCCATCCATGGGATTTCCCAGGCGAGAATACTGGAGTGTGTTGCCATTTCCTTCTCTAGGGATCTTCCCAACTCAGGGATTGAACCCTGATATAGCAGCAGCATTTTTCATTCACAGTGGTAAAAGTAAGGAATGGATCTTACAAATTTCCCATACCCTCTCCAGCATCCATACTAAAATTCTCTTGAGGTTTAGGGCTTCAGAGAAAGTCCCGATCCCTGTGTCTCCCAGGTGGGTGACAGTGTGGGGGGCGGGCAGCCCAGAGTGAGGGATAGTTACCTCCGCCTCCACTTAATACAACTCTTGCCCCCACAGAAAGTGGAGACACTCACCTCCCACTGGACCCTCTACATGAACTTGGGCGGCTTCCTGGTGGGACTCTCCTCGTCCACCCTGCTGGGCGCCTGGAGTGACTGTGTGGGCCGCCGCCCGCTGCTGGTGCTGGCCTCCCTCGGCCTGCTGCTCCAGACCGTGCTGTCCATCTTTGTGGTTCAGCTGCAGCTCCACATCGGCTACTTGGTACTGGGCCGCATCCTTTGTGCCCTTCTCGGCGATTTCAGTGGGCTCCTGGCCGCTGGCTTTGCCTCCGTGGCTGATGTCAGCTCCAGCCGCACCCGTACCATCCGAATGGCCCTATTGGAAGCATGCATTGGGGTGGCAGGGATGCTGGCGAGTTTCACTGGTGGCTACTTGCTCCAGGAGCAGGTTTATGTCAACCCCTTCTGGCTCGCCTTGGCCTTGCTGACCGTCATGACTCTCTATGCAGCATTCTGCTTCGGTGAGACAGTGAAGGAGCGGACACCTACCCGTCTCTTCACACTCCGTCACCACCGATCCATCATCCAGCTCTATGTGACCCAGGCCCCGGAGAAATCCAGGAAGCACTTAGCCCTGTACTCACTGGCCATCTTTGTGATGATCACTGTGCACCTTGGGGCCCAGGACATCCTGACCCTCTATGAGCTGAGCGCACCCCTCTGCTGGGACTCTCGGCTGATCAGCTACGGTTCTGCAGCTCAGCAGCTCCCATACCTCACCAGCCTGCTGGGCCTGCGGCTTCTGCAGTACTGCCTGGCCGACACCTGGGTGGCTGAGATCGGCCTGATCTTCAATATCCTGGGGATGATGTTCTTCGCATTTGCTACCATCACACCCCTCATGTTCACAGGTAAAGTGTATGGGTTCAGTGACAGTTTGTTTCAGAATTGCTGGGTAGCCACGTGCTGTCCCCAAATGCAGTTTGTGCTCATGTCTTTGGAAACATGGCTGGGGCCCTAGCCTGCACTGGAGGACAGATGACTAAGAAATCTCATTAAAAAAAAAAACCCCACCTGTTACACAGAAAAGATAGACCTTCAGTAGCCAAAGTAATTAATTCACATTACCAACCATAAATATTGTAAGATAGAGCCAAAGACAGTAGTATCGCTTGTATACTAATTGCTTCACTCCCTGGCCTCCCACTTCCCCTGGTGCTTTTAAGCAAAGTCCATGCTGTTAATGCCTTAATGCTCACTTCTCTGATAAGGATCACAGGACCTTGGTCAGCTTCTTTGGGTTTTTTAAAAAAGCCAGCCTTCTCAGACCACAGCTATCAGATTCCTTCTTGTGTTCGTTCTTCTTTTCTTTTTGGTTGGAGGGGACAGCTGAAAATGAGGAAGTTCACTTTCCTGAATGGACAGATTTATTTTAATAGAGCCTGAAAATGTGTACAGCCAGCCATTCAGTAATCACCGATTAAAAAAAGAATTTTTTTAAAATGTTTGGCGTGGAGGCACACGGCTTTTTCTTGTTGCTGCACATGGGCTCTAGAGTTCGAGGGCTCAGTTGTTGCAGCACTTGGGCCTCTCTAGTTGCAGCACACAGGCTTAGTTGCCCCAAGCCATGTGGGATCTTAGTTCCCCAACCAGGGATCAAACCTTCACCCCCTGCATTGGAAGGTGGATTCTCAACCACTGGGCCACCAGGGAAGTCCCAGTAGTCACAGACTTCTTAATGTGGCTGCTCCTCTGGACAGGGCAGCTGATGGGGACCAGGTACCTTTTCCTTCTACACACAGCATTTTCCATGGACTTGGTGCTGGGCTCAAGGGCTTCAGGGCTGCAGAGATGATGAAGGCACTGTCATTGCTCAGGGATTTGGGGGTGCCTGTCACCTTCAGGGGTTCTGGGGGTGGGGCCTCATCGTGTACCCACTTTGGAGGCTCCACTGCCCTTTAACAGTTTGCAGTTTTGCTGAGGAGGTAACAGTTGCAAGAGGGAGAGGAACAGTTTCTAAGGAAACAGTACAAGCCTGTGAATCACTAAATGTCCATTGAAAAGGAACTCACATTTACTGTGTGCTTACTGTGCACCGTCATCATCTCCTTCCTCATCAGGGAAGTTCTTTCGGTGTCTAACCTGCATCCCTCATGGGGTGGACACCGGAGCTCTGCTACATCTCACTGGGGCACCCCCTCCCCAGCCTCATTCTTGATCTTTCCTTCTTTCTCCCCAGGATACGGGCTCCTCTTCCTGTCATTGGTCGTCACTCCTATCATCCGGGCCAAGCTCTCTAGACGGGTGAGGCAGTCGGAGCAGGGTGAGTATCAGCGTCAGCCCGCGTCTGTTTCCTCAGGCCAGTGTTGCCTAAACTGGGTGAGGGCAGCCATGGGCTGGGAGGAGCTTACCTTCCTTCCTCCCACCTTGGAGAAGTAGCTAAGACAACTGCGTTGCTGTCCAAGCGCCCAGGGCTGGCAGAGGACCACAGGGATTTGCATTTTCTGACCAAATCATAGTCGGAATTTGCAGTCAGCTGCATGTGATTATGATCTTTTGCTGGGCTTATGTTTTTAAGCCCAGCAGAGGATTTACCCTTTCCAGAATTCAGCTTTTCTATCTGCAAAATGGACATGACGATGCCACAGGCCCCTGCTTCCCTGGGGTCACAGTGTCCAAGCTCGAAGGAGACAAAACAACTTGGTGACTTAGGTTTCATTGTTTCTGCGTGGCAGATGAAACTAAGGCCCAGAGTGTTAAATTGATTCACCTAAGATCACTCAGTAAGTGGTGGGCCTAGGTTGCACACCCAGGTGTGTTTTTAAGAGCACCAGGGCTTGGGATCTGGGTTTTTAGTCCTGGCTCTTTCACACTGGCTGTGTGATCTTGGGTAGGTCCCTTTCCCTCTCTGGGCCTGTTTCCTCAACACACATGAATTGCTCTTGGTGACATCTGCAGGCCCTTCGAGCTCTTGACAGTCTGATAGTTTAATCTCAACTTCTGTTAGGTTGAGCTTCAAAGCAAGAGTAAAATGAAAGTGTTAATCACTCAGTTATATCTGACTCAGTTGTATGCGACCCCCTGGACCGTAGCCCACCAGGTTCCTTTGCCCTTGAAACTCTCCAGGCAACAGTACTGGAGTCGGTTGCCATTCCCTTCTCCCGGGGAACCTTCCTGACCCAGGAATCGAACCCGAGTCTCCCACGCTGCAGGCAGGTTCTTTACCATCGGAGTCACCAGGGAAGCCCAGGGTTGAGCTTTGCAGAATTCGTGTTCTGTTGGCATAACTATAAAGACTAGTTTCTCAGGTCACTGGGTCTTTAGATCGCAGTCAGAAAAACATCTGGCTTATCCTCTTTTTCCCTTCTACCCTGGAAAGAGGTTTTGGTGATGGCAGAGATTTTCATGTCATATATCCCACCATGGGTTCTGTTGTCTCCAGAACCATTCATTCACAACCATTCTGTTGTTTCCATTCATTCACTCAATAAGTCTTTTTCTAGCTCCTTCACTATGCCCAGAGATGCCAAGAGGAACAGGAGAAAAGAACAGCCTTTGCTAACTGACTGCCTGTAGGAGGGCAGGCCCTGGCATAGGTGTTTTACCTGTGTATATAATGTTACCAGCATTCCTAACAATCCATGAAAGGTAATGTCCTTGTTTAATAGAAGGGGGACAGAAACCCAGAAAGATAAATGACTTATTCAGTGATCACACAGCTAATAAGTGTTGAAACTGAGAATTAACCCAGAAATTTATCCTAAACAGGAGATGATTCCAAAGGGGATAAACCCCACATGATTTTATCAGACTTTATCAAACTTCTTCGAGAAGACATCACACGTCCTTGTAATAGATTTAATAACAGCCGTTTGTTTTATAGCACAGGTGCTCTCCATGTATGACCTCACTGAAGCCTTATCACACACAACACATGATGTAGGGTTTATAGGTGAGAAAGGCCAGACTCAGGTGAAGTGGCTTGCCCCAGATCACACAGCTGTTAGGTAGTAGTGCCAGAATTTGCATTTAGGTCTTTCAAATTGCTGTGTGGTATTTATTTCTTCACAGGTGCTCTCTTTTCTGCTCTGGCCTGTGTGAATGGCTTGGCCATGCTGATGGCCTCTGGCATCTTCAACTCACTCTACCCAGCCACCCTGAACCTCATGAAGGGCTTCCCCTTCCTCCTGGGAGCTGGACTGCTCTTCATCCCGGCCATCCTGATGGGGTAATACAGGGCTGTGACTCACGGTCAGGACAGAGCCGTTTACCTAAAGGGCTCCTCTTCCTCCTCCCGACCTCCTCGTTTCTGGAGCTCTCCCCCTGTGGGTGCCTCTCTCCCCCCTTGCAGACGGCTGCCTGATTCTCTGGGAGCGGTTCTCCAGGGGCAAGGCAGAGGCCAGCAGGGGAAGGGACACGCTCATAGTGCTGCTTGGCAGGGCTGTGTTCTCCTAGTCAGTTCCCCTCGCCCCTCTCTGTTCCCATTTTACAGATGCAACAACCGTGCGTGGCAGAAATGCGCTAAAGGGAAGCCTGGAGAGCTTCCTGGGATAGCTGTGGCTGGGCCCCATGCCCACCCAACCCACTTGCTTTTCTTCCCCCGAGCCCTCTGTCTTGTCTTCCACCTCTTAGCTTGTGGTGGGGGGCGGGGGGGGGATACCTGGATCAGCCCACCCAATAAAGCCCATGTCACTCCTCCAGGAGTTGAGGGTCCCCCCCCATGTTAAGTCTGAACTCTCTCTTTGGTCTCTCACAGGATACTGGAAAGGGATAATCATTGCCCTGAATTCCAGGAGTTTTCCCAGAGCCCCTGATCTGCCTAGACCTGAGGACAGAGGGCAAGAGGAGCAACATGAGCACTGACCAACTGGAAGGAGCTACATCTGGATCCCAGCCCTTAGCATAGCAGCAGATCCCCCCAAAGTGCTGTGTTCACCTTGGACAGGATGGTCAACCTGGACCAAGGCCCCTGCCTCATCCACAGCTGTGCCAGCCTAGGACTCCCAGATCTCGAATTGTCCCCCACTCAGGGCAGGGGGTGGGGGTGCTCCTATTTGGAACAGGGATCTGTTTACCCTTTAGGCCATGAATCACACAGAAGAACCCTCCAGGGGAGGGGAGAGGTCCTGACGGAGGGACCAGCCTGAGGGCTGGCACCTCTGCTTCCAACCCAAACTCGGCAGCTCGGAGTATTCAATTTATCAGTCCTTAGTGATGAATATGGTACCTTTGGGGGAGGGAGGGTTGTGGGAGGGACTTGGTGTCCCCTGGAGGGAGAATGCTGCTGTCCCTGGGTGGCAATTAATCTGCTGGGCTTAGCAGTGCCAATCATCATAAGTCAGTATAATTGCCCTGAAATGAACTTCCTGGCTCCCCCACGGCATTAGGCTATGGGGCCTTGTTTTCCCAGTTTGCCCACCATAGACCAGGCAGCAGCAGCTGCTGGAAAGGACAGGAGCCCCCAGAGTTTCCGTGAGATTGGCACCGGGCACAGCCGGCTCACTCCTCATCTGACTGCCCATTGTCTTCTGAGCTTCTGGAAGGCAAAGCGCTGGCACGCTTGCATCAGGCCAGTGGGGAAGCTCTGGGCAGAGCCCTGGCCGCTCATTCCTCGGGGTCAGAGATCCACTCCCTGAAGGCACCCGTCCCGATCTTCTTGGCTACAGCCAGCCCAAACGGAATCAATTTTTGTTACCACTCAGCTCTCTAACACCCCCCATCTCTAGGCATTTCAGCAGGGCCATGTGCCAACACTCTCCCTTGAGCACCTGTGCAGGTCAACAGGAACCTGGAGATAGGTCCAGCCTCCCCCTATGGTACAGGAGGCCCAAGTCCCAGAGAATGCGGGGCCCATCTCTAGGGCATTAGGGAAGCCTGAAGTTGAAAGGCAGAATCAGATTGGGTCTTAAGGCTGGCTTTGATGAGGCCCATAAGCCCCCAAGCAAATCAGATTAACACCTGACTCTTCAAAACAGAACTAGCCACAGGGCATCCCCCTGCTGGTATTTCTGCCCTCATTCTCTCTCATGTGAAATCATGCAGGTAAAATGGGGGTGGCCCAAGGCAAACCAAGGTCAGCTGTGGCCTGTTACCAGAGTCCCGTGTCTCTATCCCCTGTCATGAGATCAGGTGAGGAGAGGACCCTCTCCTGGCCCAGCAGCGCCGATGTCGGCAAAAAGGCTCTGGATTGACCTCAGGCCTGGGATCTACCCCAGGTACCACCTCTGACGGGTGTGGCCTTCTGTGAAGGGCTAGCTCAGTGACACCCACAATTGTCTGGTCATGGTTTGACGAGTTAGGAAACACTAGAATAAATATTGTTCTTAGATCCTTCCTACCTCATACATTCTAAAATGAAATGCCTCTATTCGTGGAACCCAGGGAAGGCTGAATGAGTTGGAGCTGGACTTTTGACTTTTGAGTGTTTCTTGGTCATGAGCAAGGTCATGGTCTCGGAGAGGGGTGGCGGGGGGTGAGGCTGACTCAGCCCCATAGTGGGGGCAGCAGATACAGCCCATCCAAGCAGAAAACTCTCTGATCCTTCAAAGCAATGTCAGAGCAGGCTGGGGGTGGGGGAAGGCTGTTTCTCAGCCCTCTGTCTCAGGAGAGGCTCTGTGAGGCCAGGCCTAGGTGGATGGTGAGGGCCATGGTGCCCGCCCCGGCTGTGATTGGGGCAGTGGTTTGTTATGGTGAGGGAGGCAGTCTCCTGAATGCACTGGCCTGGCAGAGCGAGGATTTTTATTTCAGCTGCTCCAGCAGGGCCTGGAGGCTGGGCTCTGATTCCCCAGAGAGAGAGAGGAGGCAGGCAGCAGTGGAGGGTGTGCTGGGCAACCTCCCGAGTACTGCCCGTAAGGGGCCTCTGGAGGGAGTGGGACTGATGGGGAACAAGAAGACAAGGCCTCTGGAGGAGACTCATCACATTATATTCTTACTGCCTCTGCTCTTGGGGGCAGCATCTGGTCTGCCTCGGTACTGTCCAGTCCAGGACCTGCCTAACACTGGTGGGTGTTCATGAAGCATGAACGAGAAAGGGTCAAGGGCACTCAGAGGTCCGGCTAGTGTGTCTGGCAGGGAGGGGGGTGGAAGGAAGGAGTCCCAAGCCTGGAGGGGCCTGGCTTGCATCTGTGGGAGGCAGCTCTGGGAGCTGAGCCAGGTGTGAACCCACTGCCCCTGGGAGGGGAGGCGCCAGGCCGGTGCCCGCCGAGCCTATTAGCTGGAGCCTGCATTTATTGGCAGGAGATGCTCTCCACCCCTGGTGGACAAAGGGGCCAAGGGACACTTATGCTTGGTTATTTCTTTATAGCCTCTGGGTCAGCCGTCTGTTGTGAAAGCCTGTCCCCCATGGCTAGAGTATTGGGGGCAAGAGGGAAGCCGGCCGTTCTATAGAGCCGCAGCCCTGCCCGGGGTGCAGCCTCCTGAATAATTCTTAAGAGAGCTCGTGGATAAGGCGCCAGGAGGCCCAGTCTGCGTCCTGGGGCTGTCTCTGGAGACTTGGGACACTGGGCGCATCATTCAGTTCCTTCTCTGTCAGACGGAGATGATACCAGGTAAGGTTGCTCTGGTGATTAGAGGCCAGGGGGTGAAGTGTCAGGGAAATGACCAATATCTGTGAGGCCTTGGAGCCTGGCTGCCTAAGGTACTGAATGTCATTCCTTGATCACCAGCTTTAGCCCACCCAGGAGTTCATGAGGAATGCACCCCTCCCCAGGTGTCCTGAATGGAATTTTAACAAAATCCCCCAGTGATTCAGATGCACCTCTTCCCCCTCTTCAGGATCTTGCCTCTCCTCACCGGCCCTGCCCCTCCTCTCGGGGGTCGGGGGCGGGGGGCGGGGAGCAGTGGGTTCACACCTGGGGAAGCTACAGGTTCAGCCCAGGCTACTGCTGCTGCCCCAGGGGGCTGCCTCGCTCCACCTCCCTGAATCAGTGGGTGGTGAGCAGCCTTGGGCGGGTGGGGGGCTGAGCCAGGCTAGGCAGAGGCCTGGCGCACAGCACCAAGGCATAATAGGTTGGCTAGCTGCCCTCTGAGATGCAGCCTCCCCTGCTCAGGTCCAAGCAGGAGCTCCCACTGCACCCGTGAGCACAGACCACAGCTGCCGACCAGCCAGTGTGAGGGCTGGCTCGCTGTCACCCTGACGCCAGATGTGGCAAAGGAGGCTGCACATCAGGAAGGCTGGGAGCGGACCTGGGACCAGGTCAGGCTAGCTAAGGGCACCGAGTGATTATGAGGCAAGGCCACAGGGCGGTAGGAAGTGGTGGGCACCGGGGCCAGGCGCAGGTGGAGACCATGGCTGGCCCCTCATCCCTGGCTGGCTCCCGGGCCCAAGCCCTTGCTTGGCGGAGAGGGGTGGCCATGCCACCAAGCCCTGCCGGACTTTGCCTACCTTCACTGTACTCAAGCTGGCTGTTGGCAGGGCAGGAACGGTTAACACACAGCAAACCCTCCTCCAGAACCTCCTCAGCAGAGCAGTGACCCTTCCACACTCAAGACAGGAACTCAGGGCAAGGGCCTGGGGGAAGTCTTAGCACCCCCAACGCCTGGCTTCCCTTCCCTTTGCAGATACTGAGGACGCTGGGTTTGAGGTGAACCATGAGGGCAGGGGACTTAGAGAGCCATTTCCTGAGAAGAGCCCAGGCTGTCTCAGCCCAGGGAGGCCAGTCTGAGGGGCTGTTCCACTGGGGTGGGGGTGGGGGTGGTGGAAATAGGAGTCCTGATGGAAATGGGAGCTAGGGGCTGGTTAGATGGGGCCCCGGGGGTGCAGTGCCCTCCAAACTGGTGTCGGAGCCAGCAGACGAGTCCCGGGAGGAGCGGCCCTGCAGGAAGCGGATGATCTTCTCAATGGTGGCCTCCTGGTACTCGTGGGACCACCTGTGGGTACACAGGCGGCTGGGTCAGAGGGCTGGGCAGAGGGCGCTGCGGGCCGGGGGCCTGTGTAACCCGCCCCGCCCCCTCCTCACTTGATGCCATTGAAGGCGAGCACAGCCTGCATGTCCTCCGGCAGGGCCTGGGGCTCTGGCCACTCGAAGCCGTCAATGACAGGCACGATGTTCTTGCCGCAGCTCAAGGCAGTCACGATCTCCTAGAGAAAGAAGAGAAGAGGACGACACTGGGGACCCATCTGGGGACCCTGGGGCCAGGCAGGCCCTGGGAGGGCCAGTAGCCCAAGGCTGAGCCCAGGGTTGGATGCTGGCCCTGAGGTCCACCTTGACTTCTCCCTTACCCCCTATGGTATAATAAATGCACACACACATGTAGATATATGGGTGGATATATCTATATATGTATGTGTGTGTGTGAATACATATTAATAGATGGGCTTCCTAGGTGGCTCAGTGGTAAAGACTCTGCCTGCAAATGCAAGAGACATGGGTTCAATCCTCGGGTTGGGAAGATCCCCTAGAGAAGGAAATGGCAACCCACTCCAGTATTTTTACTTGGGAAATCCCATGGACCCAGGAGCCTGGTGGGCTACAGTCCATGGGGTTGCAAAAGAGTTTGACATGACTTAATGACTAAACAACACCAAATATATATACATATTCTTGGCGCAGAGCTCCTAAAGCCCTCTCAGATGACCTGGAGATGGGGATCTGTGCCTAGATAGCTTCAGGATGGGGGCTAGTGGCCAGGAAGAGGAAGCTGTGATTAGAAGGTTGGAACTTTCAGCCTCAGCTCCTCTGCCCCCCGGAGCTCCAGAGAAGAGGGGCTGGATTGAGATGTCACTTGTGACTCAATCGTGCCTACATAATGAAACCTCCATAAAATCCTTAAGGACTGACCAGGTAGGTTGGTGAACACATCTAGATGCAGAGAAGGGGGCCTGGAGAGGGCATGGAAGGGCATGAAGCTCCATGCTTCCTCTGCCCACACCCCCAGCTCCCCCACCCCCCACTTACCTTGCCCTGTGCATCTCTTGCATTTAAATGTTCCTGAATTGTATTTTTTATATTAATAATCCAGTAATAGTTCTTTCCTGAATTCTGCACATCATCCCAGGTCGCACTAATGGTGAAGAACCCTCCTGCCAATGCAGGAGACATAAGAGATGAGGGTCTGATCCCTGGGTTGGGAAGATCCCCTGGAGGAGGGCATGGCAACCCACTCCAGTATGCTTGCCTGGAGAATCCCCTGGACAGAGGAGCCAGACAGGCTACAGTCCTTGGGGTTGCAAAGAGTCAGACACCACTGAAGTGACTTAGTGTGCATGTGTGCACGTCATTCTAGCAAATGAGAGGGGTGGTCATGGGAACCCCTGAATGTGTAGCCATGGAGTCTGACGCTCGTTCTAGGTGGGTAGTGAGCGTCAGAACCGAATTGAACTGTGGGACAGTCAGCTGTGTGGTGGAGTGGAGAACTAGTTGTTGGTATGGGAAAAAAAATCCCAAACAAATTTAGTATCAAGGAGCACATCCCACCCCCTGCGTCCAAACTGATCCGTCCTGAGCCCTGCCAGTTGTAGTCCTTACTTATTTCTCAAATCCCCTCATTTTTCTCCACCTCCACCTCCACCACTGCCCTACTCCAACCCTTTATTACCATCCACCCCCACCAGGTCTCTTCTTATCCATTCTTGCCTCCTCTCATTCATCCTCCAGGTTGCCCCTTCACCTGGCAGCTCTTTGCAAAATGCAAATCTTATCGTGTCACCCCCTACTTGGAATTCACGACTTCACATGGCTCTTAGGATAGGGTTCAAGGTTCTGTGTGGTTGTCTGCAACTCACTCCTCAAACTCCACTCTGCTCTGTCCCCTCAGACACACAGACCTCGCAGACTCTTAGATATGCCCTCCTCCCTCCCTGCACAGGGCCTTTTCGCACGTGCTTCTTTCTCTGTCTAGAACATTCTTCCCTGCCCTCTCACCTAGCTAATACCAACTCATGTTTCTGATCTGAGCTCAATCAGCTTTCTTAGAGAAGTCTTCCCTCACTTCCCTGACCAGATCAGATGCTCCTCTTACAGGCTCTCATAGGCTCTGTAGCACTTGCTACAGTTGGAGATTTAAATTCGCAAGTGAGAAATTTACTTAATATCTTCTCCAACAGACATAAAGGCGGCTGTCTTTTCCACCAGACATAAAGGCGGGGACCATGTCCAGGTTTCAGTCCCCTTGTATCTCCCGATCTTTCACAAAGCCCTGCCCATAGCCTGCCTTTGCTAAATACTTAACAGCCGAGGGGCTGAATGAATGAATATAATAGTACAGCATTTGGGGGTTCCACTCTTGAATCATCAGATCTGTGTTCACATCTGGGTTCTCTGACACAGGCTCTGTTATGTGAGGCAAAAACAACAGGCTCTCAAAGCCTGTTTTCTAACTTCTAAAATAGGGGTAATGATAGTTCCTATCTTGTAGGGTTGTTGGGAGGAATAACTGCTATCCCACGGCAAGTGTTAGACTAGCAATTAGCATGCAGTGTGTGCTTAATAAATAACAAGTGTTATTATTTCCTCCTCTGTAAAGTGGGGATAATAAAACTTACCTCACCAGGTTGTTCTGAGGATATTGCTATTAATGGGTGCTTGGGTAAGTGCTTATTGAGTGTTTTTTCCTTTCAAGGGGAAACCCCAGAGATTGGACTTTTTGAGTGCTGTTCACTTGTGGTTTTTCATATTGATTACCCGCTATAAATGTGGCTTCAGGGAAAGCAGTTTCAAAACCAGAAGCAATTAAGCACTAAAAACAACCAAGGAGGGATGATGGAGCCTTTGGGACTGGTCCAAGGCGAAGGCTCCCACCACCTGCCTGCTCCCCACTCCTTGCAGTCGGCTGGAACAGTGAGGGATATCAAGTACCCTTGTGGAACAGAGCCTTCCTGGGGAAGGAATCTGTGTAACTTCAACACTGATTGGCTTCTGGGGAACCTCTCCATTTTACAACTGAGAAGAAGGAAGCCCAGCGAAGGGACTTGCTCCCAAGTCACACACATGTGAGCCCAGGGGGGCCCAGACTCAAGCGTTCTGATTCCAAGTCCAAGGCTATTTCAGCCAAGCTGTCTGCCTCTCTGCAGATCACCTGGGTGAATTCTGGCCCTGCAGCAATTTATTGGGGAACCTTCAGACATTTGTTTCATCCAGAATTAAACAGAAGCAAAGACAGGGATCTGTGGTCACTGCACAGATTCAGAGGCTGGCCAAGAGACGACTTGCTCAAGATCACACAGCCAGGTAAGAATGAAAACTGAGTTGAGTCTTCTGACCTAATAAACCTAGTAGATATGGATAGAGGCCTTGTCTTAAAGCAGTGAAGGAGACAAGAATATGCCCAGAGTGACTAGATCATATATAAACTGGTGTCAGTGTAAAGTCAGGCGGGTAAAATTCTTACTTGCTATAAGAACACGGAGAACAGAAAAAGCATCAAGGGGAGACTTCATGGAGGAAGTCCATTCTCCTGCTCATCTCAGCTTCATCAGAATCATGTTTGATCATTGACTCAATTATTCTATAAAGTCTGCAAGAGCCTACGTTGTCCCATGCATGGTTTTAGGCATCAGGCATGCATCACGAACAAGGCAAGGTTTGTGCTGTCATGGAGCTCACAATGCTCCTCTTTTTCTCTCAGAAGGCTGCCTGCCACCTACTCTAAGCCATGATTCTCCAGGGTGTCTCTCTGACCCAGAATCCCCTCCCCAAACCAAACCCAGTGTTCAGCCCCTCCTATATCCTGGAGTTGGGAAGAGATGCAGACAGTCACTCTGGTGTCAGCTGAATCCACCCCTCAGATCTGAGTCATAGGACAAAGCTGCAACTGAAGAAAGTGCATGGGCTTTGGAGTCAGAGAGACAAGAGTTCAAAGCCCAATTCTGATTTCTGCCCCAGCAGTGTGGCCATGGGAAAAATTATTCTACTTCTCTGAGCCTCAGTTTCTTTATCCATAAAATGAGAAGGCAATACCAGTAATCATGTAGGTTTTTGGCACTTTTCTCATCCCTCCCTTTGTTTTTTGCTCACATTGTTTCCCTGCCTGTGATGCTTTCTCTTCCACTGACATAAAATCTTTAGACTCTTCTCAAGTTCTGCTTCTTCCATGAAGTCTCCCCTGATTTTTCCAGCCCTTGATGCTTTTTCTGTTCTTCATGTTCTTATAGCAAGTAAGAATTTCACCTACCTGACTATACACTGACACCAATTTATATATGATGTAGTCATTCTGGGCATATTCTTGTCTCCTTCACTGCTTTAAGACAAGGCCTTTATCCATATGACTACTGCTTCCCTTAGCCCTGGTCCCAGTTTCTGCTGACTAATGAGTAATGATTAATAATCTACAGATGTGATACCCATCCATCCATCATCCATCCATTCTATAAGTACTAAATAAGTTTTACTATGTGTTACACACTCAGGATACAATGGGGAATTACACAGTAGTAGTACTCACAATAATTATATTAACAATAATAATTGCTGCCATTATACAGCAATTATGTGCCAGGCATTCTGCTAGGCACTTCACATATTTTAGCTCTTTTAATCCTTATAACACTACCCGAGGGAGGTAGGTACTATAATTATCCCACTTTCCAGTAATAAACATGAAACTCATAGGAATTAAGTAACTTGCCCAAAGCCAGAGCCAAGATTTAAACTCACAGCTTTGCATTCTTAACTTTTCCACTGTGCCTATCACTATGCTTTCTTGCCTCCCTCCCCTCACAGAGGTTATTTTTCAGAGCATGTTGATCCCTCTCTGACCCTCACAAGAGTTCTATGAGGTGAACAGGACAGGTAAGTTATCCCCATTTTGTAGATGAGAAAACTGGGGCTTGGAGAGCTAAGTAAGTTGCTACAGTCCTAATACAGTCACAGTGGTGGCTCCTGACTTCCAGCTGGACTGTGAAATTTGCTGACATATGCAGACAAGAAAGAGAATACATCACTAGTGGGAAGCTGCTATATAACACAGAGAGCCCAGCCTGGCGTTCTGTGATGACCTAGAGGGGTGGGATGTGTGGGAAACTCAAGAGGGAGGTGACATATATATATATATATATAACTAAGACCGATTCATGTTGTACAGCAGAAGCCAACACAATATTGTAAAGCAATTATCCTCCAATTAAAAAAAAAAAAACACTGACGATAGCAGAAACATATAAAAATAAAATAAAATATAAAACAAAGAAAGACTGAAAGGGGAACCTGCACCCTGGGCCACAGGCCAATGCTGGGGCCACCGAGGCCAGCACTTACCTTGTGCACCCAGTCCTTGCAGTCGTGGTCTTGCATGCACTTGTCTAGCGCCCCAGCCGACAAAACCAGCACAAAGTTGCGGGCGCCCATGATACTCTGGATGAGCTTGTCCTCGAACTTGCCTGCTTCTAGCTTCTCCACATCGATGAAGACACTGAGGCCATGCAACTGCAGGTGCACCTTCAGGAGGCTGCCAGGAGGTCCAGTGTCACTGCTGAGACCTCACCCCGAGGCCCCAGGCTGCCTGCCGGCCTGCCCCCCTCACCTGGCCAGCTGGGAGCCCGTGTTCCGCCGGTAGCTGATGAAGACATCTGGAGCATCCCCGCTGGGCTTACCGCCGGTGCAGGGCAGCGGGGAATGTAGCATTTCTGAAGCAGACAAGAGATGGCTTGGTGACAGTGGGCCTTCCCCATCATTCACCACAAGGTACATCAGCCCCTGCACACCCAGCCCTCTCAGCCCAGCCCAGGCAGAATGGCTTGCTCCCAAAATAGTCAGAGAGGGCTTCCCTGGTGGTCCAATGGTTAAGAAACTGTTGGCTGATGCAGGGGACACAGGTTCAATTCCTGGTCCAGGAAGATCACAGATGCTGCAGGGCAGCTGAGCCTTGAGAGTCACAACTACTGAGCCTGTGCTCTAAAGCCTGTGCTCTGGAACAAGAGAAGCCGCCGCAAAGAGAAGCCCGCCCACTGCAATGAAGAATAGCCCTGCTCACCGCAACTAGAGAAAGCCCACGCAGCAGTGAAGACCCAGTCCAGCCAAAAATGAATGAGTAAATAAATAATCCAACTCCAAGTGCATCACTCTCCCCACTTAAAAACTGTGCACGAGTTCCTACTCCCTACAGAAAGTGTTTGTAAGCTATTTTTGCTGAAGCACCCTCTTGTTTTTAAAAAATTAAATCTCAGGGATGTATTGGGAGCTGCAATGTAAAAATGATAGAAATTAATCTGCTTTGGTTCAAGCAAAAGAATGGAGCCAAAGCCCAGTCCCTGTCCCCTGTGCGAGCTTAGTGCATACTTAGTGAATGAATGGATGAATGATAAGATCCATCTTCTTATACTAGTCATACAACACTCACAATGTTGTCTGTCTATGAGTTAGTAAGACAGAGATTGAAACCCCAGTTGTCATTTAATGACTCTGATAACCTTAGAAAATGTATTTAAATCTTAGTTTTATCATCTGTAAAATTAACACCCATGATGGAAATGTTCTTTATATTTAATTCTGATAGTGGTTACAGAGGGGGTAGGCATTCAAAACTGTTCAAATCGGACACTTTTAAAGTATACCTCTTTTATTCTTTTTTTTTTTTTTTTAAATATGGAACGCTTCACGAATTTGCGTGTCATCCTTGCGCAGGGGCCATGCTAATCTTCTCTGTATCGTTCCAATTTTAGTATATGTGCTGCCAAAGCGAGCATCCTCTTTTATTCTTTAAAAATAAACGTTTTGAAAGCTGACTTAGGAAAAAATTAACACCCACTGCACAAAATGGATGTAAAGACGGAATAATATCTATTTAAAACTTAATCAGATCTGGTATTGTAAAGTAATTAGCCTCCAACTAATAAAAATAAATGAAAAAAAATGCAACAGAAAAAAGAAAAAAAACTTAATCAGGGGCTTCCTTTGTGGTTCAGTGAAGAAGAATCTGCCTGCCAATTCAGGGAACACGGATCCGATGCCTATTCTGGGAAGATTCCCCACGACTCGGAGCAACTAAGCCCTTGCGCCTTGAGACACAACTACCGAGCCTGTGTGCCGCAACTACTGAAGCCTGCACATACGAGAGCCTGCGCTCGGCAACAAGAGAAACCACCATGATGAGAAACCTGAGCACCACGATGAATAGCCCGGCTCACCGCAACTAAACTAGAGAAAGTCCACGGGCAGCAGGGAAGACCCAGCACAGCCAAAAATAAAATTTTAAAAACTTAATCAGGACCTGGTCTATAGCAATTGGTGATAAACATTAGCTATATAGTAGACTAGTAAATTAAATAAAATAAATAAATAAATCAAGATGGCTGCTAGAACCCTAGAATTCACCCTGACCTCCCTAAAGCACCCACACTCTGTAAGCTGTCGGCTAACAGGATAAGCCCCTTGTCTTCCCACCCGCATCCCCTGTGTGCGGCCCCCAGGCTGTCTTACCTCCACACTTCCTCACACTGTTCCCTCCAGCTGGACCACTCTTCCTGCTACCACCATCCCCTCTCCCACCCCCAGTACAGCCTCCAAGGCCTGAGCAGGCCACCCCTCCTCTCCACAGCCCAGGTCTGGGTGCACAGGGTAGGTGGTGCTTCCTCTAGGCTTCCACTGGAGTCCTGGACATGCTACCTGCTGCCCTCATGTGCTTGTTTATAGATCTGCCCTCCTTCCACCCTCCTACCCACCTCAGACTGGGAACTTTTTTTTTGTTTGCAGTAATCACCCACTTGCATTTAAAAAGTTTTTATCACCCAGTCAGCTCTTAATACTAAAAATTTTTTTGTAGAAAAGTCATACGGTATACTTCTTTTGTCAAGCTGGCGTTGATTATGTTTACGAGATTTGTACACACTGCGGGTGGAGTTCATTCATTTCCATTGCTGTCTCAATTTCCTTTGTATGCAAATACCACCAGTGATGGTCATTTAGGTTGTTTCCAGTTTGGGGCTATGAGAAACATAACTGCTCAGACCGGGAACTTCTTGAGGGCAAAGTGCCTGTTAGCCACTCAGCTGAGTCCATTCTTTGCAACCCCTGTGGACTGCAGCCCACCAGGCTCCTCTGGCCATGGAATTCTCCAGGCAAGAATACTGGAGTGGGTAGCCAGTCCCTTCTCCAGGGGATCTCCCCGACTCAGGGATCAATCAATCAATCCGCAGTGAGGCTCCAAGTCCCCACGGTGCGTCTCCCCTCACCCCTCCAGGGCTGGCACTGGGGCCGGAGCTGGGGCCGGGGTGGGGACCCCAGTGGGGAGGCTCACCTCTGGCGGCCGTGAGGATGCGGGCGCGGTGCACGCCCAGGTGGACGCCACAGTCCTCCAGGAGCTGCTGCTCGGACACGCGGTGCAACAGTGAGCGGTCCAGGCCGCAGCTGACCAGGCCGTAGGTGTACTGGCGGAAGCGCGGGTCCAGGCTGCCCAGCCAGTCAGCCAGGTTGCTGCGGTCGCACGTAGCGTAGTTGGCGAAGGTCTTGAGCTCCGTGAGCTCCCGGAGGAACCTGCACCCAAGGGAGGAGAGGATGCCGAGGTCCTGACTAGGGAGCGAAGGGGGCCTAACAACCAGCCGTCTGGAGGCTCCGTACCTCTTGCGGGTGATGCCCGACTTCATGCCCAGGTCGGCCTGGAGTTCCTCGTCGGTGAGCCGCAGAAGCAGGTCTCCATCTACCTGCTGCTCCTGGAGGAGGGGGCCAGACGTGAGGTGAGACCCCCGCCTCCTCAGCCTGTGGACCCCACCCAGCACAAGATCAAGGGGAGGGAACCGGAGATGGCGCTGAGGGAGGCGGACGGGACCCAGATGAGAACCCTAAGACCCCGAAAATGGCTGAGTACAGGATTCCCACCCCCAGAAGGCCACCCCGGGTGCCTCGGGCGAGCGGTGCCGGGATGGGGTGCTGTCGCCTGTAAATGCAGGGCGCCCCTAGAGGCCACGCGGCCCTCCAGGATGCGCTTGCTCCGACTGCCGGCCGGCGACCCCGTGCGGCTCTACCCGGAAATTCTCGCAGTACTGGGAGAAGCCAATCTGCTGCAGCCAGGTCTGGACCTCGGCTTCCTTCCAGCTGGGAACGCTGGGCAGGATGCGCCGCGGCACCTCCTCGCCCAGCAGGCGCAGTGCGCGCTTGGCCAGCGCCGACGTGGTGCCGTTAGTGGAGTAGGAGACGAGGCGTTTCAGGCTCTGGATGGCACCTATGTCGCTGAATACCTGGGGAAAGTGTGGGGAGAGGATGTCTTGGACCAACCAAATCACCCACCAGCCGCCCGAACATGCCTGGTCCCTCCCCTCACCTCTTCTCCCCCCTGTAACCACACTGCCTCCCCTTGCCCTGCCTTCACCCAATAAATCACTGAGACTTGTGGATTTCCCCTCCTGTTGCTGTTGTTGTGTTCAGTCGCCCAGTCATGTCTGACTCTTTGCGACCCCATGGACTGCAGCGCGCCAGGTGTCCCTGTCCCCCACCATCTCCCGAAGTTTGCCCAAGTTCATGTCCATTGCATCAATGATGCCATCCAGACACCTCATCCTCTGATGCCCTACTCTCCTGCTCTCAATCTTTCCCAGCATCAGGGACTTTTCCAATGAGTCAGCTGTTCTCATCAGGTGATCCCCTCATCTCTTCTCCCCACTGAAACCACACTGTCTCCCCTTGCCCTGACTTCATCCAATAAATCACCAAGTATTGTGGACTCCCCACCCTGAAGCTCCCTCAGCTATTCACCAGGTCCCTCTCAGGTCTACCCTCTACAACTTCTGCTGCCCTGGGACAAAGTCTAGATCTCAGTATGGCTGCCAGCTTGGGCACGGTGCAGCCCCCGCCCACCAATCCCTCCTCCTCCCATCCCTCCTCCTCCCATCCCCTTTCACCAAACTATCCACCCATGGAGGCTTTCCCTCCTCTGGGCCTCAGCTGTGCTATTTCCAGACCTGTAGTTTTACCAGCCTGCTTGTGGGAATTCTACTCATCTATTGGATCCAAATTGGTTGGCACCTCCTCCATGTAGCCTGCTTTGATTCCGTCACAGCTGGGCCCATACCTCCAATTAGGCCTTGTGCCACACTCTGAATGCCATTGTTGTTAACTGACAGTGCAACTTCCACTGGACTGGAAGCTGAGGTCATGTCTTAATCACCCTTAGAGTCCCCAAACTGGCACACTGCAGGGGACTCACTGTGTCTTTATTAGACGGTTCTCACTTGGCCTTGCTGGGAAAGACGTACCAGAATTGGTGGTCGAGGCTTCCGCCCAGACCCACTCCTTGGGGTCCTCACTCTGTGCTTCCCTTTAAATCCCTCCTCCCAAAGCAGAATAGCCTGCTTTGTAACACCAGTCCTCCCATGGCCCCTCTCTGGGGTGCAGAGGGGAGAATCAGAAGCTCCTAGAACACCAGACCTTGGGAAAGGCCTCAGAGACCCCTAACACAATGGTCTCTCCTGGATCTATGGGAATACACAAAATGGGTGACAATCACCAGTGAGACACATTCCTCTGATGTCCCCTGTCCAGCCCCAGATGACTACGGTCATACAGACAGGGTCTGTCCATGCAGTGTGCACCATTCTCTGTGCACCAAGGGTCACTAACCCCCAAACCTCCAGAGGCATACAAAGGAAGAATAGTGATGTTATGTGAAAGTAAAAGTCACTCAGTCATGTCCAACTCTTTGCAACCCAATGGACTGTAGCCTGCCAGGCTCCTCCAACCACGGGATTTTCCAGGCAAGAATACTGGAGTGGGTTGCCATTTCCTTCTCCAGGGGATCTTCCTCACCCAGGGATCAAACCTGGGTCTTCTGCATTGCAGGCAGACTCTTTACCTTCTATCATATTTAAAAAACAAATCCTAAAAACTTTTGATAATTTAACTATTAGTAGTCTCACATCCAGGGTAAAAACAGCTGCTGTGGTCTACTCCTTCAATTTTCCAGAGGACAAAAATAGACATATAAAGGCCCAAGCCTTCCCTGCAGTCAAGTGGTTAAGACTCCAGGCTTCCACTGCAGGGACGTAGTTCAATCCCTGGTCAGGAAAGTGCTGCTTGCCATGAGTTTTAGCCAAAAATTTAAAAAAGGCCCAGAGAGAGAGGAAGCCAGGTACTCAAGGTCACGCAGCAAGTTAAAGTAGAGGGCAAAGGCTATGGATCAGGCCCTGAGATTGGGAACCCCTTGGGACTCAGGTGGAGTGCTCTAGCTGACACACAGATGTCCTGCCCCAAAACTGTGTCTCTATACTTCATCTCCTTCCTAAACTCCAGAGCCAAATGACCAAATGGCCCACTGGAGTGCCCCAGCTGGTCATTTCTGAGGCACTTCAAACTCCAGGTGTCCCAGTGAATTCACTTTCTGCCTACCCTCAACCTGTCTCACTGAGTTCACCTTATTTCAGTACCGAGTGCCATCACCCACTGGGTAGGCTATGTCCAAAGCCAGGAGCCATCCTCAGATCCTTCTTCTTCTTCACCCAGCAACCCAGCAAGTCTTAATTCTATCTCTGCTGTACCTCTGGAATCTGTCTACTCTCTCTGCCTCTGCTATCATGCCCCGGACCTCCACCATCCCATGCCTCCTGCCATGGCCTCCTATCTGACCCCCTGGGCTCCAGCCTCACCCTTAGCAACAACAACTCCTTGCAGCTGTCAGGAAGGTCTTTGTCAAACGCCGGCGTCCTCCGTGTAAAACCTTGGTCTTGCCTTCAAGGCCACAGTGACTAGCTTCTAATCTTTCTCCCTATTTCACCTAACCCTTCTGTATACTTCAAGTCCCAGTTTAATGTCATTTCTTCCAGGAAGCCTTCCCAGATTCTGTCTAACCCCCATCCCTACTCCACCCTCCACCCGCACCCACCTTGGTCTTGCCCTGCAGACTCTTGATGGCTGCCTCCGCACAGAGATAGAAAGCCCCGATGCACTGTGCCTCCAAGCGCGAAGAGTCGAGCAGCGGCACCAGACGCTGCAGGTCGTCGGGGGCGCGGCCCTGGCTGGTGTCACTGGCGTCCACCATGCAGCGGGCAAAGCGCCCGGGGTCCAGCGAGGCCACGAGCGGCTCCACGAGGTCCAGCGTGCCGGAGCGCTCCACCTCGCGCTCCACCTCCTTGTTGGTGGCCAGCACGGCCACGGCCAGGCAGGCATGCAGGCGCAGCAGCTCGTCCTCCTTGGAGAAGGCGAGCGGGAAGAGCCACTCGGCGGCACGCTTCTCCACCATGCGCCGCTGCGCCGCCTGGCCCCCGTGCAGCGCGCAGTTGGCCAGCGCCAGCGCGCAGTGGCGCAGCAGCGCCTGGTCCGTGCGGCGGCACCAGTACAGCACCGCGTCCAGGCCGCCGGCTGCCACCAGCTTCTGGCACGTCTCCTCCGAGTGCTTGAACATGTGCTCCAAGATGCCGGCCACGCTGCGCGCCAGCTCCACCGGCTCACGCTCCTTTGCCAGGTTCAGGATCACGCCCAGTCCGATGCGCGCCACGCGGTCCCTGCGGAGAGAAAACAGGAGAGAGACGTGGAGTTGCCGTGGCCTGGGGTGCTTGTCTTAACCTCATGGGGGTCACAGCCTCGTCAGTTATCCGCTCTGGGCCTCACTATAGTGTCAAATAGGACGTGAGTCTGGTCCTCCCTGCCTCCCTCACCTCCCTCACTTCCTGCTCTGGTGCTGTGTGCTTAGTCGCTCAGTTGTGTCTGACTCTTGGCGACCCCATGGACTGCAGCCCACCAGGCTCCTCTGTCCATGTCCATGGGGATTCTCCAGGCAAGAATACTGGAGTGGCTTGCCATGCCCTCCTCCAGAGGATCGTCCCAACCTAGGTCTCCCGCATTGCAGGTGGATTCTTTACCTACTGAGCCACCAGGGAGAACCAGACTTCTCTGATTATAAGGATACTCCATCCTGGCCACGGGCTTTCCAGGTGGCGATAGTGGTAAAGAACCTGCCTGCCAATGCAGGAGAAGATAGAGACTCAGGTTCAACCCCTGGGTTGGTTTGATCCCCTAGAGGAGGGCATGGTAACCCACTCCAGTATTCTTGCCTGGAGAATCCCATGGACAGAGGAGCCTGGCCAGCTACAGTCCATAGGGTCACAAAGAGTCGGACATGACTGAATGCTTACATGCATCAGTAAGCATTGCATGCTTGCATGCATCCTGGTCGCATCCATTTCCTCCAGGACACACTTTCCTGGAACAGCAGTATGTGGGGTGGTTTAAGAATTCTAGCTCTAGGGACTTCTGTAGTGGTCCAGTGGCTAAGACTCCGCGCTTCCAATGCAGGGGGCTGGGGTTCGATCCTGGTCAGGGAACTGGTTCCCACTTGCTGCAACTAAGAGTTAACATGCCAAGACTAAAGATTCCACATGCTGCAAGGAAGACTGAAGAGCCTGCATTCTGCAACTAAGACCCAGCTGAGCCAAAAAACGAAATAAAATAGTTTTAAAAATTCTAGCTCTAGAGCAGATCCCCGGGTCCTGGTAACTTCTCTATCATATACTAGCTGTGGGACCTTGTGTACCTTTCTTTATTCTTATCCTCATCTCATTAACAAGATAGAAACAATTCCTACCCCTAGGATTATTATGAGACCAATGTAATAATCCATGTAAAGTTCTTGGCACAGTACCTGACTCATGGAAAAGACTCTATAAATGTTAACTTTTTATCATTTGAAGTGTCACTTGAAATGCCCTATTCTTGGACTTGCCTTCTAATTTCTCTTCACTCTATGCTCTGTGACTGGAGTGTATTTATTTATTCATTTAACAGATCATTTATTGAGGACTTACATGTGCCAGGCACTGCACTGTGGGCTAAAGTTAAACAGTGACAAAGAGAGACTGGAGTTTATACACAGCTAATATGGAGACAAATGGTAAAGTAAACAACGTGTGAACAGAATAACAGTTATCTGATCAAAATGATAGCAAAACCAGGTGATGTAATGGACAGTGCCTGGGCAGAGGGATGTGTCTGAGGAGGTGACATCTGAGAGTTAAATGTCCAGAGACCCCTGCTTGCAAGTATCTGGAAGAAAAACATAAGAAGCGGAGAGAACAGCAAGAACAAAAGCCCCAAAGCCTGATGAGCATGGCATATTCCAGGAAGAGAAAGAAGGTCAGAGATATCTGCAATGTCTAAAACCAACAAGGAAAGATATAAAATCAACAAGGGATTAACATGTAGAAAGGATATATAAATAAATATTCAAATCAACATGCAAAAGGTGGTAAATCCAGCAGAAAGGGAGTGAAAGACACAGCTGGGCAGTTTACAAAAGGAAATTCAGAACATTAACAAGCAAATAAAGAGATGCTCTAATTCATTAGTAATCAGAGAAATAAACATTAAAACAGCTGCTGTCACTTTACACCCATGAACGGGACAAAAAGCAGAAATTACTTCAAGTGGTTGAGTTGGAAGTTTCAAGGGAAGAGTGAGGAAAGAGTTCTGGGGGTCTTTTGAGCTAGCTCAAAACATTTGGACTTCATCTTTCTAAAAAAGTTTTTGTTCATTTATTTATTTATTTGTATTTTAGATTGTGTTGGGGTTTTTTGTTGTTGTTGCACACAGACTTCTTCTCTAGTGTGACAACTACTTTCTAGTTGTGGTGTAAGGACTTCTTGCTGCCGTGGCTTCTCTTGTTGCAGAGCTCCAGGTGCACGGGCTTCAGTAATTGTGGTACTGGGACTTAGTTACCCCGAGGCATATGGGATCTTCCCAGACCAGGGATCGAACCGGTGTCCCCTGCATTGCAAGGCAGATTCTTAATCACTAGACCACCAGGGAAGCCCCTGAGCTTCATTTTGACAGCAAATGGGGAGCCACTGAAAGGCTTCAGGAAGGGGAGTGACCTGGTAACACATGGATTTTAGGAAACTTGTTCTGGCTGTTGTGGGGACAACAGTCAAAGGGAGAGAGCTTGGAGGCCAGTAGAGTAGGCAGGAGAGTTGTCACACTCCAAGCAGAGGTGAAAGTGTCCTGTCTTCCTGACTTCCACCAGTGATGCCCCTCAAAGACTTACATGCCCCACCGGCCATAAAGCCCTTGCCAGGGAGCATCACGGTGACCACAGTGCTTGTGACTGTGTCCACTGCAGGGCCCAGCGGAGCCCAGAACATGGCCTGAGGCCAGGACAGCTTTGCTGATCTGATCACTGAGCTTCTCTGCAGCCCAAAGGAACAGATGGGTTCCAGTCATCCCCTCGGGCAGTCAGCACTAGAGTTGTTCCTTTAACCAATGAGAAAGCCAAAGCTCAGAGATGTTACATGGCATGCCCAGGGTTACACAGTTGGTGGGAGGCGCGGCTAGGATTTGAGTTCACATCTGTTTGTCTTCAGGGCTCAAGATCCTTCATCAGCACTTTGTGCTTCCAGAACAATCTGACTACATGCACTCCAAGTTTATCAGAGCCAGGAACTGCTCAAGAAATCATCTAATCCAACAACACCCTCATTCCTGAGGCTCAGTGAAGGGAAGGGCATGTTGAAAAACAGCAATTCAGAGAGAGAACTTTATTTATTTATTTATTTATTTATTTATTAGGAATTCTATAAGAACTTTACTTTTTGGTGAGGACCATTTTTAAAGTCTTTATTGAATTTGTAATAATGCTGTTTTCTCTTTTTTTGTCATGCAGCTTGCAAGCTCTCAGCTCCCCAACCAGGGACTGCACTCGGGTCATGGCAATGAAAGCCCAGGATCCTAACCACCAGGCCACTAGAGAACTCCTAAGTTTTCATTTCTTGAACCTCAGCCCTCATCTTTCTCTATGCACTTGGCATCTTTATAGAGTTGAACTCTGTGCTTGTTGTGAGAATTATTCACTCAGTTCCCAATTCTTCTGTAGCCTGAGAGGCTGTAAGTCTGGGTTCAAATCACAACTCCAAAGGAGGGGTAAACTGTACCCATATACACACAGACAAGCCTGTATATATATTGATAATATACACATATATGCAAGTGCTTGTATGTGTACAGATTCGGCAAAGACACACAAGAAACTCATGTCTTCAATTTGCCTCCAGGGAAGGGGCCTGGTTAGACAGAATGTTTAAGTGCGTACCCTTTTTGTACTTTGCATTCGAATTTAAATGCAATAGTTTCCCCCCACCCCCCGCCCCTTTTCTTTCTTTTTTAAAACCCATCCCCTTCACTCATTCACTGTGCATTCTTGGAAAAGTCACTTGCCTCATTATGGTCTTCTGAAGGGGGCAGGCTGTGATTTTATTTATTTATTTTTAAATATTCATTTATTTATTTGGCTGTGTCAGGTTTTAGTTGCAGCATGCGGGACAGGGGATCCAGTAGCTCTGAGGCATGTGGGATCTTAGTTCTCGGACCAGGGATCAAACCTGCATGCCTGAATTGCCAGGTGGATTCTTAACCGCTGGACCACTAGGGAAGTCGCCAGGTTGCGACTTTGGAGGACTAGCAGTGAGAGTGTGGTGGGACCAGGCTCAGAGGGCCTTACCCTGTCAGGCTTTTCCTGGTATTTCAGGGTCAATGAAGCTGTGACCTAAGCCCCCAGGCAGTAAGTGTCGCAGCACCCTGGGGAGAAGAGAGCTGCAGCAAAGAGAATGGCAAAAGGAGTGGATACACAGATGGAAGAAGCTGGTTGGTGGAGGAAGGAAAAGATTTCATACACACAAATTCTCAATGTATCACCACACTCCTTCCCTTCTTGCCCTTCCAGCCTCCTCTCTAAGTAGGGGTGGGGAAATTCTGCCTTCCTCTGTAAGGATTTTGATCAGGACCTGGCTCACTGGGTTCTGTCCTTGGTCCTGAAGTGATGCCAACTGGCATGTTATTTCTTGGAACCAGAGACACTGGTTAGTGTGACTCCTCTTTCAGTAATCCCAAACTAGGTGAAGATTGTTTTCAACTTTGAAAAATAGTGCTATTTGCATCTTGCAGCCCTCCTTTTCTTAGGGTGTTGGCTGTTGCACCCTTTCTGTAAGAGTTCAGGTTAGAGCTGCCCCATCCCACATACAGGACACACCCTTGGACCCTGGCCTATCACATCCAGTGAGCGCCTGTCCATCTGCTAGCCCTTCACATTCACAGCCCATCTCCATCAGGAAGATTAATGACATACTGAACAACCTTAACTTGGTCTCCCAACTTAAACTGCTTTATTCATGCATTTTCGACAGTTGTATCATTTCCACCAACCACAAGGCTATCTTTACTTTTTGAAAATGCCCGTTATCCACATCCATCACACTTGTGAGAGATTCATAAATGGACAGCAACCTGTCCAAAACCCTTCTAAACCTGAGGGGTCTGAGAATCCAGTGTGAGACTGGAATGTGAAAGTCTAGTCTGCTCTGGCATGAGACAGGAGAGAAAGTGGGTCAGGGATCCTCATATTCCAGGAGAGATTCCGAGAGACAGTAAAGAGGGGCCACCAGGCTTCAGTTGGACCCCACCTGCTATATTTTGGTTCATGTGGGGAAGATGTAGTTGCCTAGCTCCACACTTCAGTTCCCCCTTCCCCCACCCATCATCCCAACTGAAAACCTCCTGTTCCCCATTAGCAGGCAGAGCATGAGATCATGTCTGCCCCTGTGACATGAAGCAAAACGAAAAGGGAGAAAGCAGGAAGTGGATTAGGGGTGACATGAAGGCAGCAAGTAACCTTAGGTTAGCACTCATTTCAGCCTGGGAAGAGAGGAAAGGTATTCCCCGCTCCTGTTTTCTGGGCAATGTGTCCTCCTCCTCTCTTAGTTGGAGGGAGATGGTATGGCAGAGTGAAGGTAACACAGAAGGATATCCAGTCCAAGGAGAGAAGGGCTGTGGGTTCAGAGGATCCCATCTACATCCTCAGAACCAGGGACAGATTCACGACCTACTACTCCACTCCTCCTCTCCCTGTCTCATTCCTCACCCCACCAGCTCTGGGAGTGAATGCTGACTGCACCATTATTTCCCTCTGTGACTGCTGTACAAGTCATTAAACTCTTCCAAGACTCAGTTTCTTCACCTGTAAAATGGACACGCTGGTTCTCAACAGGAATATAATGCAAGGATTTGTGAGGTGAGGCAGGAAAGGCACAGTGCGAGGCACTGGAGACCCAGGTGACCCCACATCCCGTGGCGCCCTCCGCCCCAGCCCGGCCCCCTCACCGGTTCTCGGCCACCAGGATCTGCTCCAGCAGGCGGGCAGCCTGCACGCGCGTCTCCAGCTCTGGCGCCTGAAGCAGGCGTAGCAGCAGGTCCAGGCCACCGTCCAGGCGGATAGCGTCGCACAGGCCTTGGGCTACCTCGCGGCCCATGGCTGGTAGCAGCCAGGCCTCCTCGACAAGCTGGAAAACTTCGGTTAGGCCGGCTCCCAAGGCCCGCATGCTGCCTGCCTGCTTCAGCGCCGACAGCGCCTGCTGCAGCTCGGGCAGTGTGCGCTCCAGGGCGCCCTGCACCTCGGTGCTTGCCCCCGGCGATAACTCGCGGGGCCTGCGGCTGCCCGCCACCCACCATTGGCTCGCGCCGCCACCCCCGTCCGGCCCCGGCACTGCTAGCCGCTCGGCATCCGGCCGTGGGCCAGACATGGCGAAGAAACGGCAGAGCTTGTAGGCGGAGAGCAGCAGCGTCAGGACCATGGGCGCGGGGCTGCGGGGGACATCCCCTGCCTGGAGGGGCGGGGCCGGGCTGAGCGACCCAGAGCTTGGGAAAAGGAGGACGCGAGAGCGGAGCCGGGGGGAAGATGATGCAGGAGGGAGGGTGGAGAGAAGGGGACCAGGCAAGGGCTCCGAACAGAAGTTTGGGGAAAGGGTGAGCGCAGGACCTGGGACGAAGAGGTTGGTGTGGGGGACACAGGGCCCAGCTGTCGGGGACAGGCGGGAGGAGAGAGCGGGAAAGGCTAGGAAGTTGGACCCAGGCGCGGGAGGGTTTCGGAGGCAGCAACTAGAACAAAGAGTGGCTCCAGTTCCTGCTAGGTTCGCTGAGATGCTCTGCAGCAGCCCCACCCCCGAGAAGCGGCGGACCGCAAGCCTACGCCCCTACTCTGAGGCTTCCCAGGCTCCTCCCCTGCCGCCTGCGTAGCTCCACCCCCAAGTCTTCCCCAGCCACGCCCACACTCTGGCCAAGCCTCTCCCTGCCGTCGTGTTCTCTGCCCCCTCTCCTGGGTTCAGAGGTGGAGGGGCGGAGTAGACTCAAATTTATGTCCACTCAGTCGGTGATGCTATCTAACCATCTCAGCCTCTGTCGCCCCAGTTTTACGCTGGAATGACGCTAGACTGTGAGGGAAACAAGACTGAGTGTGCCCTTGTCCTACTAACGGTTAATGCAATCATAATAATTCTTGAGACACCTTATGCTTCTCAGTTAAGTCTTCATCATGCCTACTAGGTAGGAATTAGTGCTCCCATTTAACAGCCAAACCGACTGAGGTCCATAGAGAAGATTGCTCAAAGGCACACTCCTCTCTAATTTGTTGTTGTTCAATTGCTAAGTACTCTCGGGATCTTTGCAACCCCATGGACAGCAGCATGCCAGATACCTCTGTCCTCCACCATCTCCCGGAGTATGCTCAAGTTTACGTCCACTGAGTTGGTAATGCTATCTAATTATCTCATCCTCTGTCGCCCCTTTCTCCTTCTGCTTTCCATCTTTCCCAGCATCAGGGTCTTTTCCCCTCTGATTAGAGAACAGAAAAAAATCAGTGAAATCTCTGAGAACAACTTACTCCAGGTGGTGGGAGGACTTGAGGAGGTCCATAGACCCCTCAAAGTGGGCATGAAATCAGGCATTCTGTGCCAAGTGAGCATTTTCTAGGTAGAGGGATCTTATTTCTCACGAGAGCTGGAAAGTGTGGGGAACAGGACCAAAACTGTTACCTATGGGAAAGGATGAGGTTGGAGGTGGATTGTGGCCTGCTGAGAAGCAGTAAATTAGTAAAGGACTCAGGAATCTTATCCACTACAAAGGGTTAATATTCACCCAATGGACTGTGCAGAGAAGACTGGCCTGGGGAAATCAATGAACCCTAGAGATGAACCCAGAAATGAAAACTTTGTTCTTTTATGATAAAAAAAATTTCCCAGCTCCTACGCCTCTTCCACTGCCCTAAATACACAAGGGGTGAGTGAACTACCCAGCCAGAGATGTGCCTCATCAAACAGATCACAGATCAATAAGCACTGCAGTAGAATGAAATTGGGGCTGCTCCAGGAGTTGGACTTCTTGTCGGCTTTAGCTCCCAACACCCTATGAGGCAAATATGATTAGTCTCATTTGCCTGAAAAGAGAACTAAGGTGGGTAAAGCGGTTTGCCCAAGGTCACACAGCCAGTGGATCGGCAGAGTGGGACTTCCTTCTGTGCTCCAGGTTCACTGCGCTAGTCCTCTTCAGAGAGGTCCCTGAGCTTGGCAAAGATTCTGTTCGTAGCTGTCCCAGACCCACAGTTCTAGGAACGTGACCTTTTGCTGCAATAGCCTCTGGGGTCGGGGCACTGGGGGCTGGGCTGGAGGTGGAGCAAACAGATTAGTAGAAAAGGCAGCTCCTCTTCTCTGGTTCGCCCACCTCCACTCCCTTTCTCTCCGCTTCCTCCTTTTTTCAGGCATCAAAGCAGAGACCGCAGGAACCTATTCACCAGGCTCGAGGCTGGAGGCCCCGCCATGATATCCCTAAGGCCCCTTCTGATGCTAGCCCTGCTGGCATGGGCTGTTGTGGCTGACCAAGGTGCGGGGGGATGTTGGTGGCCATTGGGGTCAAGGTAGGGTGGGAAAGGGTGGCTTGGGCTTGGCCGTGCCAGCTGACACCCGCTCCTCACAGAGTCCTGCAAGGGCCGCTGCGCCGAGGGCTTCAACGCCACCAGGAAGTGTCAGTGTGACGAGCTCTGTTCTTACTACCAGAGCTGCTGTGCCGACTTCATGGCCGAGTGCAAGCCCCAAGGTGCGTGCAGAGCGGCTGGGCGGGCCTGGGGTCCCCGGTGCAGCTGGAGACTCACCGCCACCCTCCCTGCCCGCAGTGACTCGTGGGGATGTGTTCCATCTGCCAGAAGATGAGTACAGGTTCTATGACTACAACGAGGCGCAGACAGTCAACCTCAGCGTTGAAGCGCAGCCCGAGAGCCCTACCCTGGCCCCCGTTCTGCAGGCCCAGACCCAAGAGACTCCTGTCCAGGCACCGGTTCTCAGCCCTGAGAAAGAGGCCCCACTACCTGGGCGGGGAGACTCAGAGCCTGAAGTGGGGACCAGTGACCCAGGGATCTCTGAGTCCCCAGCAGAGGAGGAAACGTGCAGTGGGAAACCCTTTGATGCCTTCACCGACCTCAAGAATGGTTCCCTCTTTGCCTTCCGAGGTGACTCGAGGGGGGCAGGACTTGGGGGTAGGGGTCTGTCCCAGGGGCATCCCCCCTCACACGACATCGCTCCCTCCAGGGCTGTACTGCTATGAGCTGGATGAAAAGGCAGTGAGGCCTGGATACCCCAAACTCATCCGAGATGTCTGGGGCATCGAGGGGCCCGTTGATGCTGCCTTCACCCGTGTCAACTGTCAGGGAAAGACGTACCTCTTCAAGGTGCCAGGCCCAGGGGGCTGTGGGTCAGGGTTGAGAGTATCTGGGTAGCGGTTGAGAGCGGCTGTGCCCAGGACCAGCGTGGGCAAGGAGGCTGGATTTGGCCTGTGGTCCCTGGCTGGGGCTCTGTGAGCACACAAGAGCTCAAGGCTTCAGCTCCTGAGCAACAAGCTTGGAACTAGAGCTGCTCGCTTTGACTGGGGGATTCTGCACCTCTGTGCACAGCCAACTGCCTGCCCACCCTCTTCTTCTCCCCACCCCCTTAGGGTAGTCTGTACTGGCGCTTTGAGGACGGTGTCCTGGAGCCTGACTTCCCCCGAAACATCTCGGATGGCTTCAAGGGTATTCCGGATGATGTGGACGCAGCCTTGGCCCTCCCCGCTCACAGCTACAACGGCAGGGAGCGGGTCTACTTCTTCAAGGGTACTCAGGGGTGGGTGGAAGGGTGTGCAGATGGTGGAGCAGTCTTGGGTTTCTTCCACGCTTCTCTGGGGACGGGCCTGTGTTTCTCCCCCACCTCCCCTCCACACCCCACCTCCCCTACTCCCACCCACACCGTTAGCTCCCAACTTCCACAGCCTTGGGGCTTTCCAGTCTCGCTCATGGCCACCCCTCCCCAGGCAACCACTACTGGGAATATGTGTTCCAGCAGCAGCCCAGTCAAGAGGAGTGCGAAGGCAGCTCCCAGCCGGCCGCGTTTAAACACTTTGCCCTGATGCAGCGGGACAGCTGGGAGGACATCTTCCGACTTCTCTTCTGGGGTGGTCCCTCTGGTACGGAGGGAGGGTGGGAGGTTGAGTCTTGTTTCCCGGTCCAGGGGGCTGGGAGCCCCCAGGTAGAGGGAGGGCTGGGCCAGCCTGAGAGACTGCAATTGTGCAGCGATTGATCAAAAGCTGTTTGCTCAGGTTGCTCAGGCCAGACTTTGCTTCTGTTGACGTTGGTGAGGGGAGGCTTGCCTCCACCTGTACCCCACACTTTGGACTTTGCCTAGCACAGCTAGCAGAAGGAGGGGCTGTGACTGGGGCAACCAGGGAGGGCTACGGTGGAGGGAGGCCAGAGGAAAGGCCAGGATGTGGGGCTCTGCCACTAGCCTGATGCCTGTCCTTGGACAAGGCAGACAGCCCATTCTTGGCTGCCAAGGCTCTGCATTCACCCCTTCCTCACTGCAGGTGGTGCTGGACAGCCCCGGCTCATCAGCCGCGACTGGCTTGGTCTGCCGAGACGACTGGATGCGGCCATGGCCGGCCACATCTATGTCTCAGGCTCAGCTCCCAGCTTCCCCCAGGCCAAGATGACTAAGTCTGCGCGCCGCCATCGCAAACGCTACCGCTCGTTGCGGAGCCGTGGCCGGGGCCGTGGCCGTAGCCGCAGTCAGAACCCCTACCGGAGATCTCGGTCCACCTGGCTATCCTGGTTCTCCAGCGAGGAGCTGGGCCTGGGAGCCAACAACTATGATAACTATGAGATGGACTGGCTTGTGCCTGCCACCTGTGAGCCCATCCAGAGTGTCTACTTCTTCTCAGAAGGTGGGAGCCCCTGCCCGCCCTGTAGCTGGTCTGGCTGGCTTGTTCCTGCTGTCCCTGGTCCCTGGGGGCTGACCACAGCCCTTGAGTGGTGACGAGAACCCGGGAGTCCTCGGGTGCCTGGTGGATGTTCACTCACCCTTCCAGGAGACACCCAGGTCTTCTTAGCGCAGGATGGGCAAGCTGTGTCTCTCACCCCATCTCCCGACCTCTCTTGCAGACAAGTACTACCGAGTGAACCTTCGCACGCGGCGAGTGGACACTGTGATCCCTCCCTACCCACGCTCCATCGCCCAGTACTGGCTGGGCTGCCCAGTCCCTGGCCATGCGTAGCAGTCTGGGTCCAGACAGCTGGCCTCTGCTGCTCCCTAATCCAGCATCCTCCTTCCAGCTCAATAAAGATCCCTTGACCCTGAGTTTAAGACTATTGTCCTGGGACCTCCCTGGCAGTCCAGTGGTTAAGAAACCGGGGCATGGGTTCAGTTCTTGGTCAGGGATGTAAAATCCCATGTGCCACGTGGTGTGGCCAAAAGAAAAAAAAAAGGACTCCTGGCCTGAC